ACGTTTTATTTATTTTTTGGGACAGAGAGAGACAGAGCATGAACGGGGGAGGGGCAGAGAGAGAGAGAGGGAGACACAGAATCTGAAACAGGCTCCAGGCTCTGAGCCATCAGCCCAGAGCCCGATGCGGGGCTCAAACTCACGGACCGCGAGATCGTGACCTGGCTGAAGTCGGATGCTTAACCGACTGCGCCACCCAGGCGCCCCAAACCACAATTTTATAAAGCTGATACCAGGTTTTAAAAATCCCACTAAAGGGGCGCCTGGGTGGCTCCATCGGTTAAGCGTCCGACTTCGGCTCAGGTCACGATCTCACGGTCCGTGAGTTCGAGCCCCGCATCGGGCTCTGGGCTGATGGCTCAGAGCCTGGAGCCTGTTTCCGATTCTGTGTCTCCCTCTCTCTCTGCCCCTCCCCCATTCATGCTCTGTCTCTCTCTGTCCCAAAAATAAATAAACGTTAAAAAAAAATTAAAAAAAAAATAAAAATAAAAATCCCACTAATGCCTCTAAAGTATTATTATACCACTTATTTAGACTAAGAGGGCCTTGTGAATTGCTTTTCAGTTTAATCTAGTAGATTAAGCTTTATGAAACCTTTGGTTGGGATTTTCTATTGATAGCTGTTGTTGCTCTGTGATAAAAAAAAAAAGAGAAAAAAAAAAGGAAAACGAAAGTTTAGAACGCTTTGCAGGCAATCTGGTTTTGCAAGCCTCTTTCTCTGCTGAAAGATTAGAAGTATGACGTGTGATTTGCCTCTCTTTCGAAGGGCGTTACTACTTCAATAATATACAGATTTGGATTTTGAATTGCATTGCAGACAATCAGAGAGGTTACTAAAATTTTATTTTACATTCAGGTAAATGTGTAGGTTTTGTTTGTATATCTCTTTCCCCATTATATGATTTCCTTAAAGTCATTAATATGATTTCCTTAAAGTCAAATTTATGAGAAAATAATGGAGAATTATGGGCGTAGCCATTATTCATTATCATTTTCTTTAATACAAAGCGCTTTGAAAATATAAATTGGCTTTGACAACTTCTTTTTTCTGTTTCCTTGTCTCCTTTTTTAAAATATGCAAATATTTTGGACTTAGGACTAAAGCCCCCTAACTTCTTGTTTAAAGACATTTCTAAAACTGTTTGCCATCTATCCATCTTATATGATTCTTAACAATAAATTCAGAATTATAACTCTTAAAACTTCACCTTGGTAACATACCTCCAATTTTATTTGTCTCCTCTGCTGGCCTGATATTACTAATGAGAGCCTGAATGTCACAAGGCAATGAGGATTGCCCATCAGTTGCAGAGCTTAGTGAACTGTGTAATGAAGTCTTGTTTGTTTGCTTTCTTTTGTAAAGCACTTAGTGAATCTCAGCACATTTTCAGCAGCTTAGTGATATTGCTCATTTCATCACTTCTTCTAAACTTTTTGCATCATTTTACTAACCATTACTGAACTTTATTTCATTTCATATACCTACAAAGGCAGTGCCAAAGTAATTGGCAGAACAGCTAATAGGCACTAAAACCAAATAATAACTACCACAAGAGAAGCATCAAAAATGATAAGAAATTGAAAACTGCATTTACCATATTTCTTATACATTTTAAAAAGATTTTAAGACAAGTAAAAAGCAAATACATGCTTAGTATTAAAAAGAAATAAATGGTTACATAAATAACAGAATTATAGAATACAATGTATAAATGCCCTTTTAATATATCTCTCCCATCCCTACCTTTAATAATCTGATTTTTATCCTTCTAGCTTTTTTACTATGTGGGCTCAGGACCAGACTTTATCTGAATTAATGAAAACAAATAAACAAACAAACCAGGATGTCATCATAGTACACCAAAATTTAAATAAACATCACAAAAATTTATAATTAAAATATATTTTGTGGTTTTCATTTTATATAAATGATATCATACTTTTTAAAAAAATCTAGAATGTTCCCTAAGATAAATCTACCATATTTTATTTAACCACTTATCGTTGATGGACATTTAGTATTTTTTAGTTTTTGATCATATATATATATATATATATATATATATATATATTCAAGTCTTTTTCTGAGATTCCTTTCAGGGACTAGGAATATGCACATTTAAAATTGTCCCTCAATGGGGCGCCTGAGTGGCTCGGTCGGTTAAGCTCGGTTAAGCGTCTGACTTCGGCTCAGGTCATGATCTCGCGGTCCGTGAGTTCGAGCCCCGCATCGGCCTCTGTGCTGACTGCTCAGAGCCTGGAGCCTGTTTCCGATTCTGTGTCTCCCTCTCTCTCTGTCCCTCCCCTGTTCATGCTCTGTCTCTCTCTGTCTCAAAAATAAATAAACGTTAAAAAATAAAGATTTTAAAATTGTCCCTCAAAAAGTGTATAACAATATACACTAAAACACTGTATGATAGAGTCAATTCTCTAAGATCTCATTTTTTAAAAAATTCCCAGTACGCTGGTTGAAACATGTTTATTTTAAACTTGGCCATCATCCTTGAATTCCATATTATTTTTATTTATTTATCATTTGTGGATAATATAATATGACAATATGTAACATATCAGGATTAGGTGCTAAATTTGATCAAGTACTTATTTGGAGGCTAGAGATCTTTGACTAACTTTCCAATTTATCTAAACTTTTAATTTTATTCAGATATTTTTACCTTTTTAAAAATTAAATTTGGTACTTCAGATGTTATGAGAAATTGTCTAATGATGTAAAATTTCAAGGTTATTAACTAAACTTATACATAGCCTTCCCTAACATTTAAAAATATGGTCTTTCTCTACCTCTAATGTAGTTTATATGTATGCTTTTTTAGTTTTGATAAGACCTAAAAAAAAAAGTCTCTCTTTTGTTGATATTTCTTAAAGACCACATTTTATTATATTGGTTTAATTTATTATTGTTATCTAATTAAAATTACTGTTGCAGGGAGCCTGGGTGGCTCAGTCGGTTAAGGGTCCGACTTCGGATCCGGTCATGATCTTGCAGTTCGTGGGTTCGAGTCCCGTGTTGGGCTCTGTGCTGACAGCTCAGAGCCTGGAGCCTGCTTCAGATTCTGTGTCTCCCTCTCTCTCTGTTCTTCCCCCACTCACGCTCTCTCTCTCAAAAATAAATAAACATAAAAAAATTTAAAAAATTACTGTTGCTTCATTTTCACTTTTTTTTGGCTGTTTTTTAATTTAGTTTTTTGAGATAAAAGTTTATTTTATTTACTTTCAACCTATATTTTTATGAGAAATATTTAAGAATAAAGTGTTTTAGTTGAATACCATCTTGACTAGGTTCATAGATTTTTGATATGGATTATTTTTATTGCCTTTTATTTCCAAATAGTCTATAATTTCTGTTCTGATTTATTCTTTAAACCATTAAGAATATTCTAAAATTTTGCAAGCTTATTGTCTTTGGGGGTTG